CCTCACACGCTGCATTGTGAGTGATGACGGAGGTGGTGGCACGAGTGACCTATACTCGCATGTAAATATCTCAGTTGCCGTGGCAATAAAGGAAGGGGATGCAGGGGGCGGTAGTGAAGCGTGCAGTGCGCCTGATAACTATCGTTAATTGTCACGCCAATACTAACCATGATGGCAGTTACGGCCGGTTTAAGGCTGGCCGACGAATGTCCAACCTTATGTCAGCTCTGAGCTAGAGGTATAAGAGAAGTCGTTCATAGCTGGTCTTATTTGCCTACTGAGTATTGTACAATTTTTATACGATAAAACATTTATACGAGTAATGCAATTGAGGTTAGATTTGATTGCTGTAGTATGCTGTGGTAGCAGTGATATGCTGTGGTGCTGTGATATGCTGCGATAGCTGTGAAATGCTGCGATAACTGTAATATGCTGTGGAGCTGTGATATGCTGTGGAGCTGTGATGTGCTGAGGTAGTTGTGACATGCTGTGGTAGCTGCAAGTTGTTTGCTGGGGTAGATGTTGCATGCTGTGGAAGCTGTTATTTGCTGTGGTAGTTGTTGTATGCTGTGGAAGCTGTCATTTACTGTGGTAGCTGTTGTATGCTGTGGAAGCTGTTATTTGCTGTAGTAGCTGCAAGTTATGTGCTGTTTAGCAGTAGTTTGTATGCTATGGTAGCTGTGGGTGGTAATCTTTATCAAGCCACTGCGAAGCGATATACTTTTTCCCTTTCTAATTTCGACCAGCGTGATAAATGTGTTTGGAATCGTTTACACGCTCTAGATTCTACCACAGTGGTATCCAGTGTCGACGATTATGTAAGCCTTGCTGGCGTCATCGTTCATTTAATTCAAAATAAATTATAACGGTAACTAAATGAATTTACGAGTAATTCCAATCACCAATAATGGATTACACCCAATATATATTGCAATTAACAATAACGGACAACGCTCAATATATATTACAATCACCAATAATGGACTACACCCAATATATATTCAAATCACCAATAATGTACTACACCCATTATATGTTCCAATCACCAATAATGGACTAAACCCATTATATATTCCAATCACCAATAACATATTACACCCATTATATATTCAAATCGCCAATAACGGGTGGTTTTACTGTGAGTGGTTTTATCACAAATTCCTAGTGAAAAATAATAAAACAGAGTGGTTTTATTATAAATTTTAAATACCGCTATTTACGAATGGATTCATTGTCTAATTGCGCATGCTAAGTTTCCGAATGCGGGCGACTTATGCATGTGAAGTTGCAGTTCTTTCTCTGGCGCTTACCTTTAGAATTTAGAGATAGTAACTTAACGCTGAGGCGCGAATGCTTCTTGATCTTTTATTATTATAGATAACTACGAAAATTTGGTTATTCGAAATGTGTTATCCGAAATTTTGCGCATTATTTAAAAACATGCACATCCAGTCAATTAGTATTGATTAAGAATTTTTTTCTCGGGGCAAAGAATCTCACCGGAAAATTCACGTCAATCAGAACAGAAGTTTTTTGTTACAATTTGTTGTATTGTTCCAGGCAGCACTAGTCATTCATTATAATCTCTATTCCTTTAAGCGACTAATAAACGTCACAACTTCAGTCGCCTAATATCCAGTGGTTTCTCTCAATGAATATTATATCTTGGCACCGGGTAAGTCGCGTGTGCGATCACGCGTCGGCCGCACTCATGAGAGAGCGGGCAGCAGCGGCGCACTCCTCCCACCACGGCCGCCTGCGCGCACTGAGCCCTCGCATGCAGTTACGTTCATTCTATAGTCGCTTGGAGTTCAGACCCAGACATGTAATTGCCAATTTAAGGCGTGAACTCTTTTGGCTCATAACGAGCGTTTTGTGCTGAAACATCTCAGTCTTGAAGAAAATATGTGTGTCGGGTGTTATTATGGCGGGTGTGTATCCCTAGCGTTCGAACGAGGGCATGGTCTTGGTTTGAAATGGTTCTATATAGAATGGTTCGAAGATAAAAGATGACTGCGTATTAAAAATAATATACGTTTAAAAATTTCTTTTTAAAGACAACACTTCCAAAGAATCCAGTATCTCCAATCTTACAGATATACAATGAATTTCTCATTTAATTTTCGAAAATTAAAAAAAAATTATTTTTTAATTTTTTTGATATAGGTATATAAATTTTTTTAATATATAAATTTTTTTCAAAATTATTTATTCTGTTAATTGATTCTGAAAAATTTTTTTTTTTTTAAATTTTAAAAATCATTTATTTTGACATTTAATTCATGCATTGTCTCCAACTTTAAACAAGTGTGCAAAATTTCAGATCGATAGGATAAGTAGAAGTGTATTAAATTTCAATTACAAGATTTGTAGCAGACAGACAGAAAGACAGACAGACAAGAAGTGAAGTTAAAGAGAAGTGTTGTAATAATAATTAATCTCGATTCTCATTCATGTGTGGTGTGAAATTCTGTCTTCGGAAATCAAACTACTTTCATTTATTTTTTTTAAATGAGTCAACGTTTACACATATTGTCTGTACTAAAATTCAACAATTCTCAGATTAATGCTATAAACTGACGGCGTTATCAGAATATTGCCTTGATTTAGCATGAATGAAGCTAGCAGTTCACTCTGTCATTTATTACGGTTCATTTGTTAATACATATATTTAGTTTTAAATATTCACATTGTAAAAATCAAATGTATTTTCTTTTATGAATTTGCATCGCTAAACACTTGATGCGTCTCGCTGGAAATTGTAGATAATTAAAGAAGATGATTATCAAGAAGCAGTCTAATAAAAAATATTTAATCGCTGTTGTTTTTACTTAAATCAATTGTTATTATATTTTTTGCCAATAATTATTATAATAACTAATGAGAATACTTTTTATCACTGATGCAATATAGTGAACAGATATTATGATATTTTATAACAGATGCAATATATTGCAGTGTAATATAGTGAAAAAATATAGTGTATAAATATTGAAAAAAATTAGCAAAATAAACTGTAATGTACCATTTATTGAACAATAATCTGTAATGTACAGTTGTATCCAATGTACATTAGCTCAATAAACTGTAATTAGAATAGATGATGAGCTGAAGGCGCTTAGAATAGGACTTAGAGTCGCGTTCCTATTTCTTCTTCGCTATATTTACCTATAAAAAATATTTCAATAATTTTTTTATTTATGTTTAATTGTATCTATGGTAAAATTTACGTTACTGAGAGTATAAAAGTATTCAATAGTTTCAAAAGATACGTGCCAGTGTTTGATTGAATTTGAATTAAATTGTGTGTATAAAGATAGATTATTATTAGTTTTGAATTGTTGTACAAATCTACGGATGTTACAACCAGTATTCTATTTAATTCCGTTTCCATCTAATTTCCAAGCAAGTTTTAAATCAAGTTTATACTAGGTTAGCCAAGATGGCCCTTTTAAAAAGAGTTCACACACCAACGGCTGCATACACTCAGCTCTATAAACCAGAAACATTATCTACCGAAAGTTAAGTGGCAGATGAAATCATTTCCATCATTGCTAATCTCTTTCCCTTTTATATAATTTTATTAAAAGCCCTCTACTGCCATGCTCCGGCTTTTGTTTAATTTGTGGAAGACTTATGAATAAATTTACAGGTATTAAAAAATTTCATAGTTAAATCAATTTCTTGTTTATCCGAGCGCATTTTTGGGCCGGAGCTTATAATTAAAATTTGAACAACATTGTGTCTTCTAGTCTTAGTTTATTCATTTGTTCTGATATACAACAGTTACTGTCCGAAATGAAAAGAGAACAATCTATAGAAAATTTTGGGTTGGTAACCCAACGCAATCTGTGCCAACAATATCTTCAAATTTCATATAAAATATCATATCATATATCAGATTTAGTATCTCAGTGATGTCGGCGCTGAAGAATAGACCTGGTGGGACCTGTCGCAACATATATTAGTAAATAGTAATCTATATGAATGCGATGTTAGTAATAAAAAACTCCGTCAATGTATTAATGATTACACGAAAACGAATTTCAGTTGAAATAACGAGAATTTATCTAAAACTGAAGGTACAAATAATAATTTGATTCACTTGATTCCCTAATGTCAGTACCGTTTGACCATAGCAGCTGAAGTTTTGCAGTTACCGAATACAAAAATTTTCAACTCCTACCCTCATATTATTGTCCAATTATTCTGATGATTAAAACCGAATATCTTGCTGCATTACCGCCTACTTCACTACTTCCAATCTTATCTTGAATTGAGCCGAATATCTTAGTGCAGTGATTCCCACTTCGCAACTTAATCCATATATTTTAAAAATATATATATATTATATATTTTAATGTGGAAAATCAAATAATTTCGTTCATCTCATTTCATAATATCAGTACCTTTTGCTGTGGTAGCTGCAGAATATATGAAGCAAAATATATTCTGGCGAAAAGGAACGAATGCAATAATGCATCAACTTCCATATATAGTCAGATCCTTCATTCATTCTAATGAATTTAACAGATGCCAGTAATATGCATTATTTCCCACGATGTAGGATCATACATTCACTTTGATGAAGCGAACCAAAGCCAGAAACAATGAGGAAAAATTAATAGTTTTGAAATGTATATTAACGTAGTAAACAGCATTCAATGAATTACGTCAGCCAGATTCTTTTTAATCTTAATACAAATAGGTAAACAAAACTATAGGTAATTAATCATAGATTTTAATTGCGTCAGTACATGACATGAATGCACAACCATTGGGGAGCAGCTGCCTTCAAAACGTCCATGGGTAATGGATCTCACAGCATTAACATCTAGGACGCATGCAACTATATGTTAACACATAGACAATAAGTTTATAATACTGCGTGGTGGATCTGGCGCTAGGAATGACTTAGAAAAACATAGGTTGTGCTCGAGATCGTTAATCACAAATAGACTCCTGCGTCTAGAAATAATTTTCTCGAAATGAACCGGGACAACCAAGACGAGACGAGAAATTTTGGGGAAAAAATAACGGGACAAAGGGTAACATTTGTCACGGAATAACTTTTGAAGCTGGACATGACTTGTGTCCCGGACTTCAAAACTCGTGTAGCGGTGATTATGAAACGATAAGAGACAGATGGATATAAAACGAGACGTTACGTAGCGAGACGAGACATGTCTTAAATATATAAATATGACGTCGAGACGAGACATATTAAATACCGGGACGTCTCGTCTAGTATCGTCACTGTATTGTCCCGGAATTCCCACGGTGTGCTGTAAATTGTCCCGGTTGTTATTGCTAACTGGGACAGACCTTGTTGTCTCGTCTCGAATGGAGAAAAGCACCAAACGCAGGAGTCTAATCACGAACACTCTACGTGATATGGATCCGCAGTCCAAACTCGAACGAATCTAGTCAATTTATGTAGAATATTTTGGCAATTTATATAAAATTGTATCATATTATCGTTTCAATTAAATGATACTCAGCACGAACTTAAGATAGCTTAAATTCAATTATTTTATAATTTTTTCAAGCAACTTGATTTCATACTAGGAGATTTCACATCATGTTTGGCCTAATTTTTTCCGTTGTAAATAACGCTCTTAAATCACTTTCTGTCGACACGATACATATTAGAACAAGATTAGAACAACAATCTATTAATTCTCAAACACGTGAAACATTTTTCACAAACATCTAAAACTTCATCTTTGGTTTGTCTACTAAAATCTAAGATTAAGTACATCTATGTTATGGTCACTTTCGGTCATTGGAAATGATAACTTAGCTAGTGATTTTCACAATTATTTACCTTTAGAATTAATTAGATACATTCGACTTCAATACAAATGCAGACAGTTTACATTAAATCGATTAGGAAATTTTATTTGTCCCGTAAGGAATATAGTTAAGTGTTGAACTTTCTCCTTACAAACAATATTTTAAGTAACCTATATTGGAGCTCAGCAGATTATGTAGAGTTATGGTGATGATTATGACAGTAGTAATGATATTCCATGTTGAGCTTACACAAAGGTTCCCAAGACCGAGCTTTGATCTAGTAAAATGCTTTCGGCCACGCAATTCGACTGACTCTGGTGAACCACTAGTGAAGTTTTCTGAGACGAAACGCCGCGATTGATGCTTTTAGGAGACAATTTTACATTGAACGACTCCACTGACGACAGTTCGACCTCGCATCCACTCATGTTTTTGTGACTCGTACGAAGACTAAGGTCGCTCCCTGAGTAGTGGCTGCCGTTCATACGAGCTCCAGGAGAAAGGCGGGCCCGTGTTCGATCTATCGCAGGATCGTAGCCACGATAAGTCGTACGAAGACTGAGGTCTCTCCCTGAGTAGTGGCTGCCGTTCATACGCGCTCCAGGAGACAGACGGGCCTGCGATCGATCTATCGCAGGATCGTAGCCACGATAAGTCGTACGGAGACTGAGGTCTCTCCCCGAGTAATGGCTGCCGTTCATACGAGCTCCAGGAGAAAGGCGGGCCTGCGATCGATCTATCGCAGGATCGTAGCCACGATAAGTGATGTTGTTAAGCCACATGCGCTCGCGTAGACTGAACTTTCTTTGTTTCGTCGAGAAGACCCCGTTGTTGTTCGCATACCGAACTGACCTGAACCTGTTCAAAGATATAATTAGCTCTAGTTAATGCTGATTGCTGAAATTTATTGCTCATAAATTTTCAAGCAATTAGATTAGTTTTTTAGCGTAAAACTATTCATACCTTACTTGAGAAATAATCGAAAATTATTAGTAACGAATGAAGTTAACACTTGGGTTCTTTAATCCTCACAATCAATAAAATTTGTAATGCTAAAATGTAAAATCTTAAATAGCTTGGATAAATTGCATATTCAGATCATTAAAATAGGTATTGAATAATTCTAACAGTATAATTCTCGAAGTGATATTAATAGCAGTTGTTTGCGGTAGCAGAGCTTGGTGTTATAGAATTTTATTAAAGTAGAAAGAGTGAGGGACCAAAAAATGGCTCGGGGCTGGAAACTTCTATCAAATCAGAGTGCCATAGGAAAGTTGGAACAATTTTGCGGAATTTAACATCGATAAAATTGGTCACGTGCCATTTCTGACCATTTCGCGTGCAGCGCAGTTTATGTCCGGATTATCCCAATAACATGCACCGAGCTTTCTATGCTCTCAAGCCAAATGTATCATAAACTGCATGCATTACATGAAAACATACGTCATGACATGTAGTGCAATTATTCATTTCCAAGTAAACAATTTTTAATTTTGTACGTAAAAAACTGGAAGTAAGATTATTCTTTATTTAACCCTTAATGTTATCGCAGTGATGAGAGGGGAGTTGATTCACCAGGTCTTTTTCATTGCAATAAACGAGCAGTGAATTTTACAGCCCCTCACATCTGTCTACAAATTCTCAAACCTGCCATGAGGCTTTTCAAAGACAAGCGAGAAATTGCTACTAATTTTTTAACTATATTCTACAAGATTAATGCAAGGAATCTTACATGAACGAAGGGCAAACGATTTTCTATACCAGTGATATGCATTCAATGATTCTTCTTTCAATAATTATCTACATCAATTAGTCCCGTTAATAAAGGGTATAGCTCTTGACAGGCGGAATTTTACATCCTAAACATCCGTGCATATGAATCTATCATCGAGCATTCCGTTTCTACCGAGCAGGGCTGATAGATGCAAGATAACTATTTACTACAAGTCGGGAAAGCAACCAGAAACCCTGTTTTGCATACAGCAAGCAATCTGTATTCTTACAATATCAAATACAAGTTCTCGTAAATTTTCCTTTAATGAATTTATTTGAGCCAAAAGTAGGATAATTCTTTTTGATTTATCCTTCTCGTAAATTCCTGCATTTTATTATTCTACGTCATTCTTGTTAAAAATTTCTAGATCTTCAGGCAACAACCAGTCAATGTATAATATTGAATTGTCCAAGCCTGGCTGTTATTCTTACACGTTTAAGTTTAATTACCACCGATGCGATTGGACGAAGATTTATCGACACAGTAAGGGTCCAGCAAGAAGCACATGTAGAGGAGGGTAGATGCCAACGTGCAAATAATATATGAGCGAACCTGAATGAAGCAAATCTTACTGAAGACGAGTTGCCAACACGTCGAGTGTCAGTCATGGTTGTGGACTCGGTGTTGTGGCGGCGCAGAGACTCGTCGAGGGGCTTGTGTAGGCAGGGGCTGCATGGCACCAGAGTGCGAGCACACCAGTCAACCGCACGCAACCTCCTGGCAACAATGAGCCGCATTTCAGGGAGTGTTTGGAGAAATAAAAAGCTGTATTAATTGTGTCAACTTTTGGCAACAATGAGCAGCATTTCAGGGAATGTTTCTAGAAATAGGAGGCTGTATTAATTGTGTCAACTTTTAGCAACAATGAGCTGCATCCAGGGAGTGTTTATGAGCGCATTTCAGGGAGTGTTCGGAAAAATAGAAAGGTGAATTAATTGTGTCAACTTTTGGCAACAATGAGCAGCATTTCAGGGAGTGTTTATAGATATAGAAAGCTGTATTAAGTATGTCAACTTTTGGCAACAATGAACTGCATTCAGGAATTGTTTGTAGAAATAGAAAGTTTTTTAATTGTGTCAACTTTTGGCAACAATGAACTGCATTCAGGAAGTGTTTGTAGAAATAGAAAGCTGTATTAATTGTGACAACTTTTGGCCTAAATGAGCGGCATTTCAGGGAGTGATTATAAAATGGAAGGCTATATTAATTGTGAAACAATCTAAAATGCAGTAAACTGGCATTATCTTCTGGCTTGATCCGCGGCAACGTTACCTCCTAATCGTGACTTGTCTTCAACTTCTCGCGCAATGAGTCATCATCGACGAAAAAAGTTGATGAGGAAAGTCAGAGTGTTTGGTGCAGTCGAACAAAGCCTGATGTATGCTTTCATAGAATTATATCTTAAGAAATCGAGATACAATCGGAAGAAAATGGGAAAATGTAGAGAAAAATTCTTAAATTAACCGCACTAAATGAAAATATAAAAATATGCAATAAATTTACGAATTAGACGTTTCAGTCGAAAAGGTTTTTTTTAATTAGATAATCGAAAAACTTTTGAGAATTGTATACATTCTTGTGCCGCAAAAGTGGTTTGAAAACTTTATAGACAGTAAGAGAGGGCCAAAAAAATGCAAAGTGATTTCATTTATGTAAAACGAGCGTATAGGTGCAGAAACGTGTAAGCCAGGTAATCAGAAGTATTAAAAAGCTAGTGCAATCGAACAAATTTATTTGTCAAATAATCGGAAATTTCCAGAACGAATACGTATACAGGTTCAGAGATGTGCTTGTCAGCGAAATGCTTTCTTTGGAGATCGTAACTGGAGTATAAGTACTATCAGTGCCATTGCTTACTTCAGATTATCTGATTGAAATGGTCTAATTTGTCAATGCCTCCACTAAGAAAATCGTATTCTTTATCATGAAAACAAGCAATCAGACTGAATGGAAGAGTAAAAAACCTTAAAATATAAGAAATAGAATCAATTTTCCAATTGAAGATAGCCCGCGACGGTGGTATATCTCTTGCACTGTATTTAAATAGCTGGAAAGCAAATATTCCAAAAAAGCTGTTACTACTGGAAGCAGCTAAACGCTTTCATGCTACCAATGCTTTGAAAAATGTGAGTCACTGCATAAAATTAACATTCAAAACATATATATGGTTCGATTCTTCCAACAAAGAACAAGAATGGCCAAACGTATTCAAAGATGCCGTTACTATGAATACTTATGCAAAGCCAGTGCAGGCCTGAAGAAGATCGCGAGGAAAAAATTTTGTCGAAATAAAAATTTCGGAGAAACGATCTTATGCTAGCTTCGCAGACATAAATTTTCGTTTTGACTGTTGGAATTTGCGTTTCAGGAATTGATTTTTGATATCATATTGAATTTTATGCCTTGGATAAAGGATCCTCCGTTTGCTGCGTATGCCACGTGCACAAATTATTTTGAAATTTTTCGCTAAAAATTCACAGAAATGAATATTCTATGCAAACGAATCACATATGAGACGAGAAACCTATTCTCATATGAACAAAGCCTGAAGCCTCGAATCAACGAAAGGTTATTTCGGGCGCCCTGATCAATGCGTGACCAAAATACTGCCCTTGGAATTACGAAGCTTGCGAAAGAGATTGATGACTTTCCATGCTCCAGAAATAGCAGAAGTGAAATTGAACTCAGATCAGTTTTGTGGCCGCTTAGAATCACCACGATGCTTGCTGATGGTTTTTTCTAAACGCCACAGAAAAGATATTTGTAGTTGATTATTGAAATCTCACTCTGACTGTGCGAAGCCTTAACCTGGCGCTTTAATTCGAAATATATTAAAATGAGAATTGTTTGCCTTCTTGGATGACATTGCCATACATTGGACGTCGGTAATTAAACCAAGCATCTTGTGTATTTTGTATGGATCGCGCATATAGTACGCGCTCGGGTAGACTTGACGATCGTATATATAGGCGATAATATAAGCGCTCACAGCCCACACCTTGCGTCTGTTCTCTAGTATCACCTCGACAACTTATGAGCGTTTAGTTTTTTTTTCAAATAAAGGGTTCATATACTGGCAATGTACCTGAAATCCTACAATCATTATAAAAATTATGTGAGGGCTCAGTTTATTTATCTGGGCCCTACTTATTGAATGCTAAACGACTCAGCATTTTCGGGCGCTAAATAAATCATGCATGCATTATCTGTATTTTTAGAGATTTTTATTTTTTTTTGTGTCTAAGCAGATTCTCAAAATAAATAAATTTCACATAGAATAAATTTCATACAATAAAATCCAGTGGGTAGTATTCAGGACTGAACGGCCCACCTGTTCAAGGTTATTTGTTAGGTACTCCAAAACAGAAGCGGCTTTGAACAAAAAACAGTGAACTCATCAGCGTTCGTTCGTGAGCATTAAAAACCATGAAATTTCGATCAATTTCTCGATTTTTCCAGCTCTGATGTTGGTATTTTGCATTGAGGTAAATTGGTAAGGTATTGGTAAAGCCCACTCAACATGCACGGATCCAATATTGGTCGTGTTTGAGATAGCGCGCCTGGTCTCGATTGAATGTAATAGAAAGGTAGCGTTTCTAATAGGACACTGCAGTGGTTCTCCAGAGCTGAAGTTGATATTAATTTTACAGCATCATAGCCAGGATTGCCTAGATCCATTCGGCTCTGATTCAAAAGGAACTTCAAACGTGGGCAGACATCACTCGAATTTTTTGCTCTGCACCTTCAAAAGAAAGTCGGGAAAAAGCAACGCTTCAAATTTCAACGAAGGCTCATAGTCACGTTCGAGCTGGGTTATTGGAACTGGACGTTATAATTGAATGGTAAAACTATGAAGACTTGCTTCGCCTCGGTTCAGGGTCTCCCACAGCTTCATATGTTCTCTAATTTGTTACTCATTTGCTCATTGAAGTCCTTTTTATTTGTGTGCTAAATTGTAGTTGCATTTGTACGTCCCTTATAAGCGTATTATTCACTCACGTAATTTACGTTGTGGTATTTTATTTCTTAACAAAAGTAGATCAAAACTGCAGCCATTGAGCTCGCAAAAATAGTATTGTTTAGAACAAAAAAAATTATCATTCAAAGCCAGGAACGAAATTTGATGCAAATGTTGCAGTCTGAGTAATGCGAAAGACTATGCAGTAGACATATTATGATAGTCATCACAGGTGCAACTATCATGAATGATTATTAAGTACCAGTAGCTGTGTATTCGTAAATAAATTAATGTTGTGCAAAAATCTTGAAAATATCGTGATTCTGAAGCAAGGAAAGTAAGTAATCGACGCAGCAAAAGCCATCAATGGCAGGCAGGACTTACAAAGGAGAGCTTCGGGAGTGCCGGCATCCGGCAAGGTCTAGAGAGACATGTCCGACATATAAATTGAGCTTGTCTGTATTTCGGGCACAATATCAACTTCATCATAACACCATGCATTTATCTAAGAACATTACAGGATGTATTATAAAATAAAAACCGCCCTTGCATGAGTTAAATATCGTGTCTTAAATTCAAGCGAGTAAGGCCTAGATTTGAACACGCATCAATCAAACAATGGCTAAGGTACGGTTGAGAAACATTTTAAGTCACATGATTAGAAAAACATTTTAAGTCACAAAAAATAAATAATTCGCTGGGCCTTGAACATGTTAACAAAGAATTTAACATTCAACCCATTCAAGAATTGATAACAAAGCACGTAAACAGGGACTGTTTTTCATTTCATTCAAAAGGAAAATTCATATCATCGAATGTTGAATCGAACCAATTAATTAGTTCAATAACCGAACAATTGACTTATGAAACAGTGAGTTCTAAAAATATCGATGGAAAACCGCGAGGCAAAAGCTCAAGATAATTATAAAAGGATCATGGAGACTTTCAAACAACCTAATTGTGTTTGAATGAAAGAAATCGAGGACATTATTGTGCTCGAGAGATTGGCACGCTATTTGTAGCGCTGCTCATTATGAACCGCTGTATTTTTTTATTTTATAAATAAATGAGGTTCCTGGAAGCCTTACAATGAAAGAAGCACTAAAAGTTTGACGGAAGTTTTCCATCAGCAAATACATTCTTTGCCTATTATAGAACCGCTGATAAAATAAGATTTGTTCTTTAAATTCAATACTATATTTCCGGCAAGTCTGTAGGAGTAATATAATAGTTGATGGATGTGTATACTGAAGTGATAAAACGGATACTTATGCGAAATGCTGTGGATGGTTCCTGAGAATATCATCGGTTCAAACACGTCCCACAAGATCGTACCAAGCAAGTCTAGCGGTTATTTAAAAGTAAAGAATTAGACGCATCATTTACCGATAAGCATTTATATTCCTAATGTCCCAAACAACTTCCGTCATTTGTTCGAGCACTTAATTGAGATTTCTACAATTCCTGGTTGAAAACTATCTGCTCATCATTTACATACATGAACGATTTATTCTAAGCAATTAGCGACACATCATTGCAAGTATTATCATATTCATCACGTAAGACTACTAACCTGAGATTCCTACAGAGCCTGGTATAGAAACAACGGATTTTTTACCTACATCGACATTTATTCTTAGCATTTGGTGGCAGATGATTGCAATTAAATATTGATATATTCACAAACAAAGACCACATACCTGAGATTCCTACAAAGCCTGGTATAGAAACAACGGATTATTTACCTACATGGACATTTTATTCTTAGCATTCGGTGGCAGATGATTGCAATTAAATATGGTCATCTTAATGAAGAAAGACCACATACCTGAGATTCCTACAGAGCCTGGTATAGAACCAGCAGATCATTTACCTACATGGACGTTTTGTTCTTAGCACTCGGTGGCAGATGATTGCCATTAAATATGGACATATTCATGAACAAAGACCGCATACCTGAGATTCCTACAGAGCCTGGTAGAGAACCAGCAGTAAATAAAGGGATTGGCGGCAGAGTTGAGGGGAGCCAGGGACTGCATGAGGGTAGCGAGGGCCAGGTTGTTAGGGGCGAGACCGAACACTTGCAGCAAGTCGAACACGATGTACGGCGACCAGCATAAGATGAACACTGCACATCGTTGCATTACGTAACAGATGATTGCAATCAAGTATGGTCATATAACAGTTTTGTTCATTTCTCAGTCTGAATAAATCAAATTCCCCGGTATCTCTGTGATTTGAAAATTTTTGCAATGTTTCATAATGAAATACATAGATTATTGCAGAGAAGAAAACCTACTCATAACACCAGGATTCATTTTGTTATTCGTATTGAAATGAATAGGAAGGAAGCAACACAGGAATTTTTGCGTTTGAAACTCACCAAGTAGGTCACATCATTTAAATTTCTGGCTAAAATTCCCATGTCAAGTTTAAAAAAATTCTTCACTATTTATTTTTCTAAAAAATTTTACAACATAATAAATTTGTCATGAAAATTCCAATTTTAGTTGTGAAAATCCAATGGGTATGTTAACATTTAAAGTTAACTGCTATTGTGCTGTTTACTTCAATTCATCTCTCTAAAGTTTGAGATATTAAAAGAAATTCCTAACTGTCAAATCATCACAGATGTTTTCAGTCGAGGTCTCATCTGTGAATATAAACTAACGCAACAGAAATATTGATGTTTCCTTATGAATCTAACTTGGTTGCAAATACTTTAAGCTTGAAGAAACCCGCGGTAAAAAGTTTCTACAGATATAAGTTGATTAAATTTAATATTTTTAATTAATTTAAAGCTCACCTACGACAATAACTAAGGTCATCTTAACGGTCTTGACTTTAGCTTTCGGGATGAGGCCTCGGGAGCTGGCGCGCCTGCAGTCATCGTCTACATACGCCGCTATGCCGTTCTTCTTGTCTCCCTCTGTTCCATCCACCACAGTTACCATAATAATAATAATTTTAATAATAATAATAATGATAATAATACTAATAATAATGATGATTATAATAAAAATAATAACAATAATAATAATAATAGTAATAATAATACAAATAGTTTTTCAGAGCAGCGTAGCACTACTCGTGTTGGCAATTTAATCGTGCAATATCATATAGCTGTAGCATTATGACTACGATTAGCAAAAATATCAAGTGTTAACTGTATGGCCAGAAGGTACTCTGTGTTATGTGGTCCCACAGTGCATATTATATCGATGTTACAAATTACGTTTTCAAGGACTTAATTTCAAACTCAAAAATAGATAAACAGTAAAGCCGTTAGAAGTAAAAGAAATAAATAATAAATAATTTTAAAAAATAAATAAATAAATAAATAATTTGGAAGGAAATACATAATTGAATTACTTTACATGAAAAATTTAACAGTTAAAATAACAGGAAAATTGTTAAAAGTATTTCTTTCAGATAGTATTTTATTGCTCAACGCTATTTCTCAGAGACAAATAGACAGGAGATTTTTAACGTTATTCATACATGTGGCAAAATATAATACAGATTGATATGTGAAGAATACCCTCTGATTAAGTTCTCATACGTGTGTGCGCGGGGCTGTGTGCGACCATGAGACGACTCTTGCTCCATATGGTGTGTACGATGACGATGTAGCAGCAGCTGATGAGGGCACACGGTATGATGAAGACTGTGAGTGCCACGAGCACCATGTACACCTGCCATTGCCATGGCTCTGACAGCGATATCCAGCACTGCTTCATGCCTGAACATCACACTTGGTTTATATTTAATAGAAATTATTTACATTATAATTAACAACTAACTAGTCAAATGTAATTCAACTGCCACGAGTACCATATGCACCTGACGGTGCCACGGCTCCGGTAGCGATATCCAGCACTGCTTCATGCCTGAACAACACTCTTAGTCTTTATATTTAATAGCAATGATTTACATTAAAATTAACAACTAACTAGACACATGTACTTCAACTGCCACAAGCACCATGTACACCTGCCATTGCCATGGCTCTGACAGCGATATCCAGCACTGCTTCATGCCTGCTTACCACAATTGGTCTTTATATCTGATGGCGATGGTTTAAAGTTGAAGAACTCGATAGTCGCATACATACATAAAATTTAACTGTTCTGGTGCATATATGTAGATATTTATACTTTAAGTTTTATCCGCTACTTTTCTGAATAACAATCAATGCAATCTTCTTGCATAAAATAGAACTTTACTGTTTCATACATCATATTGTTTCATTCATAAAACTGCCCGGTAGTTTGTTGACCTCCTCGCGTAGCTCAGTTTTTCTCGCATATACCCCAGCACAACATCATAGTCGCATATATATCTCTGCATCGTAATATATTTTCTGAACATTCTTGAAAATAAGAAAATTCTGCGATGGCCAATAGATCCCAAGTTTTAGTTATCCTTGTTATGGTAATCGGTCCATCAAAACAAGTTACAAGCAAAGAGGTTTGAGATCATCACGCTCACCTACAGCCTCTAGAACACGGCAGCGTTCTTAGTTAAATCCTGGAGTGGCATCCCGAGTGGGCGCTCAATAGCGAGCGATCTTAGCGGGACGTGGCTTGCGCGTGTAACATGCCTTGCATACACTGCTAAATTACTGGCATGCAACTTAATTTTTTCAATTACTGGCATGCCACGTATTTCACAACTTCATTTCTTCAATTACTGGCAGTGGCATGCCACGTATTTCACAACTTTATTTTTTTCAATTACTGGCATGCCACGTATTTCACAACTCTATTTTTTCAACTACTGGCATGCCACGTATTTCACAACTTTATTTTTTCCATTACTAACATGCTACGTATTTCACAACTTCATTTTTTCAATGCTTTAGTTTAACTTTGTTTGATTTTGGTGGAATTTAAAATTAAAGAAGACCGTATGAGTCTTGCCATGATTCGTTGCAAAAAATTCATTACACGTATTTTCGACTTATCAAAATTTGTAAATGGTTTCAGGGACTATTATGAATTTGTCTCCCATCAAAAAATACTTTGCTAGTACAATTAATTCAAATTCCAGTCGTGTATATCTGTGCTCCGCACCCAGTGACCTGGAGCACCGCACTGGAGCATCGCACTGGAGCACCGCATTGGAGCATCGCACTGGAGCATCGCACTGGAGCATCGCACTGGAGCATCGCACTGGAGCACCGCATACCGCACTGGAGCACCGCACTGGAGCACCGCACTGGAGCATCGCACTGGACAATCAAGATCCCGGAACCCATGTTTGTAGTCCGCAACTCGGGCAGAAGAAGCTCGCTGGCTTGCAATAATTCTTCGCAGCGTAGCCGCCGCACGGGGCCCCTGAAGCACCATTGAATTCCGCATTTTTTTGAGCGTGCAAACTGGCGTCGCTATCACAAAAGATGCGGCCAAACTACCAAGGACCGCATGGCCTCGTAACGCACGTTTTATGACAAATAAAATCTGTGACATTTTCCTCGTGGTGCGTCCTCGGATAAGAAGAATAAGCGTCGTAAATTACGGCTATCTGGAAACCCCTAAATTGAGCATCCTTACTAAAAAGAACGCGCGCAGCAACATTAAATCTTGATTAAAGTGCTGCGCTCTTATGCAGCAAACTTGCCAGGCGGATTGACTGCTGCTCGCTCTAATTACGTCCGTGACGAACACAGGGTAATAAAGAATGAATGTGGTTGTATAACGCAAGTCAGAGACTGATGTTGTCAAGTCAAGGGAATGTGGACATTTAGATAATTGATTTACTATTCCGGGCTTAAATGGTCCTTATTTTGCTCAAGTGATTTGTCAGTATCCGCGACTATTTACTTAGTTTTTCTGCAGTTTATGTTCAGTAAATTTCGGGTCCAGTAAGATTAAAACAACATACTTTCTAAATGCACCAAATACTTCAACTTAGTTTAGTTCTTAATTCGTCCCTCAAAACGACGAAAAATACACTGGTCCTCTTACTGATTAGTTAGCGCGCAAACTAAGCGAATTTTACATTCAAAAGTTTAATGCAATTCCTATAACAATATGAGATCAAAATAATATCAAATTGAAAAAATTGTATATATATGAATGATAGCGTAGGATAACGATCGTCTTCCCTACCAAATAAATGTAACGACTAACTAATTTCAAGACCTTGCAAAACATGTTTTTAATTAAAAAGCAGGCGTTTTATAACATTTTAAAGGTGGCTGAGAATTTAGTAGCTATAGCGTAGTAATTACTTAGACCTCGGGGGAATATACAGAAAGATTCTGTGTTGCTCTTTAATGTGGATCTTTAATGTGGCTCCTTAATGTGGATCTTTAATGTGGCACTTGAATGTGGCTCTTTATCGTGGCTCTTTAATGTGACTATTTAATGTGGCTCTTCAATATGTGGCTCTTTAATGTGACTCCTTAATGTGGATCTTTAATGTGGCTCTTTAACGTGGCTCCTTAATGAGGCTCTTCAATATGTGGCTCTTTAATGTGGCCGTCTGCCGCTGTTGACTGCACATTAGAGCCTGGACAATATTCTGCGAAGTCAATGATTTTTGTGAACCCAACGCTTCCAAACAATAAAATCACTCTGCGCCACGAATAAATACCGATAAAAATAAATTTTGATGCAGTTAGCTGTACATATTCCATGCATAAACCTACGGAATTGCATCACTGCATTACCTGCGCCATTCACATGAGACTCGTAATCGATGCCTAGGAAATTCAAGATCTTTTTGAGATTGGCGTCGTTTATTCTGAGGCCTATTTGACGCATAGCTTATTTATTTTACATTTAATACATATATCAGAGAAGCTCTGATTTACGAGTCCCAAGAGAAATTAAAACTTCCAGTTGAAACTTCCTGGAGCAATCTTGGAGTATCCAGCCTACCAGGCCTAGCTGCTTGAATAACGATCCCTCAGATCCCATTTTAGCCACGACACCAATCGTGTTCACTAGCAGCAACTTGCGCAAATTTCGCGGTATGTCAAATTATGACAGTGAAAGTTTGAGTGGATAATATCGATGTAGTCAACATTCACCATAAATTTATAATAATTTTTTTAACTTCTAACGAATGGCAGTTTAGAGTTTTTAACTGTAAACAATCAATGTTTAAATATTGCTCAAATTAAAATCACGTGAATCATTGGCACGTTGATTGTGGTTGGAATCCTTCAACTACGTTGGCATAGTCATAGATAGCATAATTTCCTATAATTTTCTGGAAGATAGGAATATAGAATTATGTTATATTCTTTTACGAAAAAGCCTAATTGTGAAAATTTGCAGCGTAATTCGCATCCAAAAAAATAAATATTAATAAAAATTAATGTTCAGCAGCTTTCTATTTTACTTTTTAATAAAGCGATTTTGGGAAAAAATGTGCGAAATTTCACTGGTAAATTATGAAACTGTGATATTGCGTAAAAATTTCACTGGTAAATTATAAAACTGTGGTATTGTATTAAACTTTCACTGGTAAATTATAAAACCGTGGTACTGTGTGAAAATTTCCCTGATAAATTGGACATCGCACGATTCCACCAACTTATTATTTTAGACAGAGTTTATTTTATTTCTGATTTGTTTATGACACAAAATTATTTTGAGATATTGTAGAAAGATTTTGAAACCTAAATTACACTTTCTTACTAGTGAACGCTTATAAAAATACAGATCTCGTTATTAAAGGGGAGCGTCCGGATAAAAAATTATTTATGGACTGATCATTTTGAAATTTATTATATATATGTAAAACAGAAATCTAAAACTTTTTGTTCGCCTTAATTTAACGAAAAAAAAATAAATAAAACGTGAAGTTCAAAGAAACTTGCAAAAATGGTGGCACTGTAAAAATTTACCTCCTCATTCAATTAACGTACTACAACATCGAAAGACATATTATTTCGTTCCTAAAGACCATATCTAGCGATTGACCGTCCAGCTTTCCAGAATTCCTATTTTTTGGCTGGGGAAAAATAAAGTGGCCGGATTATCGCTAGATATTTTCTCACGAATCGAATGGTACGTCTCTCAATGATGTAGCTTGAAATACCTACCTCATCGCGGTTTGTTGAAGCCGCTTTGTAATAATTCTCCCAATAAAATGACATGAAAACACAGAAAACGTGATTCCTTCATTTTTTTATCAAGACGCTCCCCTTAACGCTTCACTTCCTAACAACAGTGAACGGAAACAACAACACATGTCCACTAATTAAAAGCCTTACCCTCGATTTCCGCTTCATGAAAGAGCCACAAACTCGGAGCTGCGAAGACCGCTGATGTCAGCCACGCCGCTGCCACTAGCTGACGAGCCCTCCGCCCTGTCGACACACGCGCTGTTACTGGGTGCTGACACCTACGCTCAGCTGACAGTTAATGCATGCTGACAACCAGCTTATTCTAGGACAGTTGTATGATAAGGAATACTATAGACTGACCATCACATAGGGTGAGACTTGAGTCTTACCGACAGTAACTATACTGTTCTGATTTAATACAGCACAGAGCAACTACTATCCTGTGTTACTACTGCCCTGTGTTACTACTGTCATGAGTTGCTACTGTACTAAGTACACACAATGAACGTGCAATGTCTGTTTTTCTATATATCATCTAACTCACTTCTACGGAGCGAGTCACTCATTACAGTGCAGTTTCTCCACAGACATTAATTACAGTTCTTAGCATTGATTGTGCAGTTCCTGCACTGCCATTATTCTAAGCCATTTACTGACTTCAGACTGTTGCGGCACTGAACAATACTGCACCGGAACAGTGGATGCACTAATGCACCAGCGGCCGAGACAGTGCATAGCTTAATTAACGCCGGGACAGTGGATGCACTAATGCACCAGCGGCCGAGACAGTGCATAGCTTAACGCTGGGACAGTGGATGCACTAATGCACCAGCGGCCGAGACAGTGCATAGCTTAACGCTGGGACAGTGGATGCACTGTATAGTGGCAGTGCATAGCTGGTACGCGGTTGGGGCATACACCATGACAGTTACAGGGAGGTAAATGTCATAGTACTGGGATATTAAAACATGATCAAAGCAGTACCACAGTATAAGTCACAGATAGCAGTGACCATAAAAATTGGTGAATGAAAGAGTAAAAAGATATATTTTTGTATTTCCATCACTGACACGTATCCATTTCTATCAATATACCTACACAGGTTTTTGTTGAACAGAGTAGATGCATAATATGACTAAGATAACACTTTTTCTGAAAATTTTTTTCATCCGGTCCTTGTTTGCGATTTAGCATCTGAACCATAAAACAGATAATTCTGAAAGACGCACTTATTCATGTTATATTCCCTCCAATATTTTTTCAAGTTAGTTTTCATAATTAAAACTCAGCAAATGAAGTTCTGGTCGAAAAATAATCTTCAATAAAGAGGAGTCCTCGTTAACGGAGCGTCGCATCTAAACTCTTCTTTAACGAGTCTCGCTTGAACTGCCGACGAGTTCGATGTTTTTAGACGCGGTTCATAAAACGGGGAGAATATTTAAGCTCCTCTGATATGATCCGAATTCTATCGAGGGTAACCCTGCAATTAATTTATGAAGATTTATTCGTTAGCTACTTGCCGAGTATTTTTTTTTTTTTTTTTTGCAAAAGGCGCAAGGCAATAATTCAATGTTGTCCTGGAAATAGGTCGCTTAAACAGGTCATCGATCGCCTCTCAACAAATTTCAGGTCAGATCTGTTTGCGTCTGTACACGAAAAAGTGTTGATGTTTGATTAGCAATGATCAACTGAGTTTGAAAATGTAGCTACATTTGCTCTAGTTTAATTAGCAAGATCAACCTCGCCCCTTCAAGGTTAAATATATTGCATTACGCTCCGAAGAATGCTTTGCCTTGGTATTATGGAACGCAATTCTATAGTAGATAATCAATTTAAGAAGTATTTCATGAGAGCAAATAATGGCATTTATTTATAGTTTTTCTTTGCGACATGAACTTTATTTGCTCGTTTCGAAGTCTGAACTACTTTTGAGACTTCCATCTAGAGTGTACTCAGTACAATGAACATACCACGAGATTCTACAAAATTCCCATCAATTGGACTTGATGTTGTATAGGATCACGGAGCCGCTTTAAGATTTCTCTTAATATCATACGAACAACGATTGAGTTCAAAAACGACTTCGAAAAAAAAAATTTGTAATCGTTCGATCCAACTGGGTATTCCGCGCTCATATCAAAAACTATCAATGCCCAATAGAGCAAACAGACATTTTCACGGCCAATTTGATCGCAACTAACATATTTTGTAATTATTATTTCATATTTTGTAATTTCATTTCTGTAAATTTTTAGAGTTTACACACAAAACGCATCAAAGGCTGTGTGGGCACAAGGCGCATATGCACGATGAAGACATGTGTTACACTGCTCGGAGAGAGCGAACAACACGGTAAGTCTTTTGGCAATAACTTCCATGTTGCGCTCTCACCACACCAACGCAGTGATTTCAGCCACATGTCGTAAATAACTGTAAAAAATTCGTTAAAGTCAAATTTAGAGGCCACATAGTGGCATACCACTATTCTAACGCAGCACCTTCAAACCATCGTATCCGTGTAACGAAGAAAGGCTTCACACAATACAATGAAAATATCTGAAGTGGTCTTTATTGGTAGATGTTTAAAAATTATTAGAAAATGTATTAAACTGAATAAATTCTCTATTTTGGAACCGCATGAAAAGGCGGGAAATACATTTGAGACTCAAAAAAGCATAAATTTATATCGAACCAGTAACAAATAACTATTTAACATACTTGCATATTTATACTAAATAAATGAAAAAATGAAAAAGTAAACAATACCCACAGAGTTTAATGAATTTATATTGTAATTTATCAATATGAGAATGCATAAACATTTTTAAAGTGCCGAAAATGAGTCATGAGAAAGTGAGTACGAGAAGAACAATTTTGGAAAATGAATGGAAAAGGTGGGACGCGTGTATGCAGATATATCTAAAATGAATGGAATAATGAGGCAAGATATACAGATTACATCAAGGAACTAACCAATAAGAATAGCAATGTATAATTCTCAAAAGTGAGCTCCAGATGTTTGTAAATTGCGACATCCGCTACTCGAAGGAGCACGAAAAATATCACGACAGGATATTTTATCAAACCATTAATGCAGCCTTCCATTACTCAATTTAATCAACTATGGCGTCTCCTTCATCAGAGTCACATCTTTACGTCACTATCAGAGTGACGCAGAAAGAGAAGCAAAGCTAGTGTTGTAATTTATCAATTGAAGAGATAACCTGGCTGTCCACTGCCTCTCTCACTTTTGCAGCCCAGGAATCTGGTCATTTTTGAAAACAAGTTTGATTGGCCTTCTGTCGGCTCTTTCGAACTCACTCCAGGTAACTGCACAAAGTGATCGAGAAAAAGCTCCTTCGCGAAATTACAGTTTGAACAGTTGGTTCTAGGAACGGAAAAATATTCCCACTCGATCGGAAAACTGGAAGTTTCGGTCCTTGAAGACTGACAAGTTGAAGAACTTTCAATTCGATGAGTTTCTTGCGATGTCGTTGCACGAACCCATCACCGGCACCTTGAATTGCCCAGCAAATGTTTAGATCAGCCTTTTCTCTTTGACAGGGATCAGTACAAACCATTCCTTGTTATATTAGTGACATCAAAGATCAGACGTTTCACCAGCCTTTTGTGAGCCTTCTTTTCAAATGAGTTTCATTAGAAACATTCTAAATTAAATTTAAACAACGAAAGCACGTAAGCAGGAGTATTTTTATTTTCCAACCAAACACACGAAATAGTCGCCTTGTGTGTACCGAGAGATTTATTATACCAAAATTAAAACGACTTCAAAACTGCTCTTACCAGCTCACTTTCACGATGTTCCTCATCGTTGTTACAGAGAATATTTCATCTTTTAAAATTCTCCTGGAATTCTGTAGCGTTATCTTGCCATCGTCCATCGTGAGAAACTAGATTCACAACTCCCGAGAAAATAACGCTGACTTCGCTCGCTTCTTTTGTTACATGGATTGTGCACTCATACAGGCAGCCATTATCTTCATCGGAAGACCTCATTGCACGCGAGGAAATAATAAAGAAAAGTTATAAATGACTCATCTTTCTTTAAAAGTTCGCAAACAAATCTGAACTTTTATCAAATAAAGTTGTGCAACCTCGGGACAAAAGTAATTCCAATTTTATGTCAATCGCTGCATTCATAAAACAAAATGATTGAAAATGCATAGCCTTGAGGCTTCTGAGTTACATGCAATTAATAAATTTTTTATCTGCATATTTCCGTTCCGAACATCTGTGTATTATTATAATTGCGAGGAATTTATCGTGTGCTTATACTGTACACGCATATGCATCTATAAAAAGTGAATTAACTGCAGAACTCAGTACCTAACTTCGGAACAAATTTTTTTGCACCGTTTACGCATGAAGTTTGACCTCATTCGCGACAAATTCTCAGTTTTATACTTTAAAGATTACGTTAAACAGGTCGTCTAGTTACACTGATCGAGGTCACGTATAAAAAGAAAAACTTGGCACAGTTTCATACATAGGATTCCAGTTACTAACTTAAGGGTTATTGGGTGATACATGGTGGGTGACATGGTCAATAACTTCACTGTTATTTGGTGACATATGTTCATGCAGTCGTTGTAAACGTCACTGTTATTTGATGCACATGTTCATGCAGTCATCAATAACTTCACTGTTATTTGATGCACATGTTCATGCAGTCATCAATAACTTCACTGATATTTGATGCACATGTTCATGCAGTCATCAATAACTTCACCGTTATTTGCATATTTGGTGACAAATGTTCATGCAGTCATCAATAACTTCACTGTTGTTTGGTGACAAATGTTCATGCAGTGGTCAATGACTTCACTGTTGTTTGGTGCACATGTTCATGCAGTCATCAATAACTTCACTGTTATTTGGTAGCACTGTAGCGGGAGAACTACGCTCCATACACAAAGTTACTGGGTCTCTGCAAGCGGGCCCTAACGTACGAGGATGAATCAATATGGATCAGTGAATCTTCAAAGGCCACACGGTATATTTAAATTTCATGGAGAATCCGCAGCCACAACATAGGACTATAAACTAAATGCGTATGGGTTTACGAGTACAGACATTATTTAGACATTAAACACAGAGACATTTATAGACATTACAACGTGTGGTAGTTCAAGCAAAGGTAGGCTGCCTACTATAGTACTAGCAAATAGCAATCCGCTTCCGCTGCTTCCCGCGAGAACTACCTACGCATACTTATTCTCTTCAGTCTCCGTCAGAGAGGTGCGGCGGCTGAAGAAAACTAACAGCGCGGCCAAGGCTGGCCCGCTACAGCACACATTCATGCTAGTACTCCCTTCGTTTCTCGTATTCATTGCAGTCAATAATTAACATCTTGTTAATACTAGTATACTAATAATACTGTACTCTAGTTAATACAGAAGAATCATTTTTATGGTAACTATTTAAATTTCTTACCCATTTAATTAATGCTACGGTCTGTTTTGACAATTAAAGAACGCAAGAATAAAATAACGAGACCAAGGCATTTAAAAAATAAACTTTGTTCAAACTGAGCCCGAAAAGAAAAGTTTTAAGTCAATTCATACGTAAATCTTGTATTATCTTGACAATTAACGAGCAAAAACTGAAGACACTGCACTTTGCGGTCAAAACTTTGTGACGCGTTCCTTGCGTACGCCACTCAAGTTGCGATGACTGAACTTAAAAAAATTGCGACGTCCTAGCAATTCTTCTGGGACTGCTGCCGAACTCAGGCAGTACGAGACTTTGGGAACTGTTGCCTGCAGTTCGAGACTTCAGGAACTGTCGCCTCCAGTTCGAGACTTCAGAAACTTTCGCCTACAGTTGAGACTTCAGGAACTGTCGCCTACAATACGAGACTTCAGGAACTGTCGCCTACAGTTGAGACTTCAGGAACTGTCGCCTACAGTTCGAAACTTCAGGAACTGTAGCTTACAGTTCGAGACTTCAGGAACTGTCGCCTGCAGTTCGAGACTTCATGAACTGTCGCCTGCAGTTCGAGACTTCAGGAACTGTCGCTTTCAGTTCGAGACTTCATGAACTGTCGCCTGCAGTTCGAGACTTCAGGAACTGTCGCCTACAGTTCGAGACTTCAGGAACTGTCGCCTACAGTTCGAGACTTCAGGAACTGTAGCCTACCGCCGACAGCACGAGACCGTTAATTACTCGTGTCATGCAATATTGGAGTTGCACGTTGGACGTTGTAGTAGAAAAATAAGACGTATGGTCCCCAAATCCGGTCGAGTATGAAGTGCATGCAACTGACGGCAAGTTGTTTGATTGTGTCTAATTATTTGTTGAATTTAAATTAAATTAAGAATTTTCGTGTAACTTTTCGCACTATATAAAGCAATAAGCTTCACACTTTCTTTGATTTTGGAACATTTTTTTTTCTACGGGGGAAACATTTAAAAAATATTACAGTTTTTGAAGGTTTTGGAATAAGAGTATTAGTTAACTGATTCATATCCAGCGAATATTATTGATGCTCATATCTACCATTTCAGCAGGAATGCTCATACCATTCCCACTGAATTTGGAAACTTCATAAAATTTAAATACCACGCATGCAGTAGAAATATATTCCTGAGCGAATATATTTCATGAGCGAATTCCTGAAATAGCGAATTCCTGAGCTTTGTATGCATAATCGATGTATCATTTCATAAATTAATCGGATTAAAACGAAACGTACACATGATTGCAATACGGATGGTTTTCGGTGATTATAGTTATCGAAATGATAGCAGACAATTTAATATGCATGGATTAAACAACAGCTGCGTTGTCTGGGACCTTTGGACAATTTTTCGTACTGTAATATTTGCGGATCGTGCATGCATATTTATTCTACGTCATAATTCACTTAGTTAAATCATGAATAAAATGTTTTGGTAAACGGGAAACCAATTCAGTTCAAATTTACGAGTATAATAACTATAGGTAATTGGCACTTAGAATTACCAATCTTGTCATGAACTAGACACGAAAAGGCTATCAATGTAATGAAGTGCAAGGAATATTATAAAATTTTAATGTAATACCTGCTCCTCCTCTTCATGAACATGTTAAGATCTGGTATACTATGTATATGGCCAGGTCAGCAGTGACTTTCACGTATTAAATTTGTTCCAAAAACAACTGCGCCAAGTGTATCAACAAATTAAAATAAACTGATTCCATTTATTGTATACCTATAACTATCAGTTCGACATTATTAAACGACCGGTGTCTCATTAATTTATAAATCGACCCAATTTTAAAATTCACTATTTTTGACCATGTTTAAATCGTTAATCATCAAGATTGAGATCTATTAATCTTTAAATTCTGACGTCATAGGGCGTTAAAGTGTTATTCTTTAGCAAGTCTGAAATAAAATATGCTAAGTGTATGAACTACTACAACTATTCACTTTTAATGTATAAAGTTTACCCATATTAGATTCGCCACTTGCTGAGACTCAAACACATTTGAGTAATATAATTAATTAAATTTAACTATGCGAAACGTGTAATTTCTATACATGTCCATGCCATTCAGAAAGAATTCATCATGTACTAATCAAGAGTATTTTTGTACTTGATTAATTAATATTGTGTGGAATTTGACTTTCATATATTTTAAGATTTTAACGAATAAGATTTTCTGGTTTCTGCAGTAGCTCTTGGAGCCCGAGATCTGGAGCTTAAAGTTTTACTAATAAATTTGGATTGAATTTTATTCCCATATCTGAAAAACTCAATCTGAATTGCTTGGGCTTGTAAATACTATAGTTGCTATATACTGTATATGAGGCTGCTTATAGCAGCTGCTCAGCGTATATGATAGGTCCATAGACATGCACATGCCCGGTCCACAAAACTTTCAATCCCACACCATTCATTCGTCATCTCCATTCGTTAAGCACATGCAGTAACATTATTAAATAATAAAGAAACGCAGGTAAATACAGAAAACAGATAGAGAGTCATGTTGACTTTAGATCAATTGAGGAACAATATTTTTCAGGTGTGTAACTCAAATCAGCGCAGCAAGTCCCGGTTTCTATCGTTATATCCGCTCAATGTCTTATTTATCACAGATAATTTGGAATAATCATTAAAAGTCTCAGTACTTAATGCCTCATTATTCAGCACAGTTGGTGGGCGATGCAACTCTATTTGTGTCAGTGTGGTAATTTATTATACCAGGAAAAAGGAGGAGGTCGAGTCAGGCTGCCGGAGAAATTATACAATAAAATCTGATTAGAATAATAAATAATATCATAGGGAAGGTCCGCTCACCGCTGCAAGAAAAAATTGTTTGAGATAACATAATCATAATAAGATTCAATATAATGATCGACGGTCTACTCACAGCTGCCGGAGAAGTTCATGGGATGCGAGATGGCGTCGTAGCGGTCGATGCTGAGCGCCACGAGCACGTACGTTGACGAGTACGTCACCAGGATCTGATAACACATGTAAAAAATATAACTTAGTACTCACTGCAATGAGTGACAGAGAGCGCATTTTCTCGTCGACGAAAACGTGAAGTCACGGACGGACAGACAGACGGACAGACAGACGGACGGACGGACAGACGAACATGGCGAGCACAATACTGCATTTTTTTCATAAATGAGAAAATGCGCTAAAATGCTCATCATATTAATCTCTAGTGTAATACACTCAATAGTACAATTGAATGCATTAATCTCTAGTGTATTGAATGTTAATCTCTAGTGTATTACACTCAATAGTACTATTGCTCGGAATAATTCATGCTGGTAGGGAATTCAACAGTGGTATCCTGTCTCAGTCATTAGAATTCAGTCGGTGCATTTGATTATGCAAGACTCGACTGTAAGAAAAACTTTATTTTTCCAAGCGAGAGTCTCATCACTAAAAAGTCCAATTTTCAACGGCATGTCCTATCACAGTCAAGTTCTAAACTGCAAGTCTGTATATTCACATGGCCAAATCCCCTTCTCATTACACAAGGTCAAGTCAAATTTGTCCAATCTTCAAGTCCGCGGTCTCATTTCAGTTCGCAAAAACAAATTTTTCGCTGTCAGAACACGTCTCTCTGTGGCACTGAACCGAAAGATCGAACTCGTTCGACGAAAGCCGAGGAAATCAACGAAATGATGTGACCTTTACGATTCTTTGATGTTTCTTCTTGATAACTTCAATCGTTCGATGCAACATGTCTCGCCAGACGCGGTGGGACAAACTTTGATAAGTCTCGGATATGCCACTCGACTGATATACCTTTGCCAGGGCAACGATGAAAACTTTTTAAATCCGCTCTAGCCGCCATTAACGATGAGTCTCGAAAAGGATCTAAGCACTTATCGTCTCATGTGATATTTTAATAAAAAATATCTTTGCACTCGTGAGCATTCACGAGCTAAATCTCGGCTCAATGCCGTAAGCTGGGACTGTTTTTGACATCGTATATTGCTTGGAGGTTTAGAGTATAAAATGTTATACTTCTGAATTTGACACGAAGCGGAATAAGTTGTGCAAGGAATTAAATCCAGATGATATTTGAGGAATTCAGGTATTTTTATGGTTTTAAGCGCATTTGGCATTGGATTGAAACAGAGATCAATGAACATTATTGACCTGATTTTGCCAACATATGTCACTAAGGAACCACTTGTTGCGAACGGTAACAGTTCATTCGCCGCAAGTGTCGCTTAGTGCTCTTCGCCGGGCTGTGTCGACGATACAAATGTCAAAAATTTTGGCTAAAACATACGGAATGTAAAAAAATCCTTTTCTTGTCAATCATTAGGATTGGCCATTACTGAATCCGCGATTCAGTAATGGAATCCAAGCGATGTTGCTGCATGTGAGACGCCAATGTGGACGGATTCATTAGTTTTCATCAGTATTCATCAGCTTCCATCCCATGACTATTCTTCGCTGAAACAAATGTTCGGATAATAGGAATAAAGAAATAGAAGGTAATTAGCTACTGGTATGATTGTATATTTATAGGTTCATGGAAAAGTAACTCGCACTGCTCCGGTGGTGCCCGAAATTGTCTGGCCAAAATACCTATGTTTATATTTTGTAATTTGTCTACATTAGAATCACTGAACGCAAACCCTGAAGTATAAGACGTTTCTTACAAGCAATGAGTAAACCTGATTCATTCCTTTGCTTCTGTAATATTTTACTGTTGAACAAAAATATTCCTGTCAAGTCCATATACCTCTGTATTATCGATATCTGACTGTCTCATTCGTAATAGTATTCAATTTTTAATGCTGTGGTTAAGTGAAATTTTGAAGCGAATTATAAGCCTCGTTGAAGATAATGCGAGGCAACATGACACTTATTTTCACTTCACGATCTAGAATTATAATATTGCAAAGCCACCCGCGTCAAGTTCACTTGCATCAAAATCTCTTGATAGTGCACGAAGTTCTCAATCGTCCATTGATTACCACACTTAAATGGTCCCTGGTGAACTCAGTGTACCTCAAGACCTCTGAAAACTTCAACCGTTGATCTCAATTCGGGGGTTTATTTCTAAAGTTCGATATCAAAACTTAGGGATTTTTAGTCTTTCGTATAACCTTGAGTCTTTTCATCATGCAGCAAAGACTGCAAACCTGCTGCAACGCAGAGTGAAAAACCTGAGGAAGACTAAAAATCTGAAAGAGATTCGCAACCTGAGTGCGATTCAGAACCTGTTGGGCTCGAGATTCATCTCAGGGATGCACCCGACCTCAATACTGCGTATGTGATATGATAGACAAAAAAATTCGAAGAAAATATTCCTTGCTGGTGAAGAGAATAGATTTTTATTTCAAAACAATTTCGACTTAGATGGCTTGAAGGCTAAGCGATTTCCATAAAACCGAATAGACATTAATTTCAGTGTACGGTTGATTGAGTTTTTCCTATTTAAAATTGAGCCTTTCTTGCATGGTTACTTGGTATTTCACTTGGTACCATATTTATTAACAAGTGTAATAAGTTTCTTTCTTATAGGACGTAAGCGATGAGCATGGTGATTGCTTCATTAAAGTCATAAAATCGAAAACGTTAACAGGATAAATTTAGCTTCTCGTCGATTGTAGATGACTGCTGGGCAGATACAAGAGAATGTATATAGAAGCTGGGTCTAACGTGAACTCAACTTTTGTATTGTACGCTATCATTTATACATGCCCAAACATTATAAATTGTATCTAAACGTTGAATAGAACCTAGGGCTAACACAGCCATTTCAATTTGATATTTGAATACAACGATCGTGGAGAACAAGAATAAATAGATTCCTGTTCTGCCACACAAAAAAAATGTTGTCTGGTGTAATCGATTGCGCGATTTATTTCTGAAACATTTACACAATTCCGAGATGCGACCGATGAAACGTGGCAATGAAATCGAGGCGTTGCAATATAGCACAGCGACATCAAGATACCTGCACAGCGTCCTGTCGGACATTGCACAGGGACTTCATAATCAACGAACAGCATTCTATGGGTATTGCACAGCGGCTTTATGTTCACTGCACTGCGTCCATTTGCTTATTGCATGACATCCTTTGTTCATTGCACAGCATCCTTTGGTCATTGCCCAGCTGCTTCATAGTCATTGCTCAGCGTTCTGTTGGTCATTGCCCAGCCACTGCATGATAATTTCACAGCCACTTCACGATCCCTGAACAGCTGCTTCATGATCACAGCACTGCGTCCATTTGATCATTGCACAGCCACTTCACGATCATTGCACAACCACTTCACGATCATTGCACAACCACTTCACGATCATTGCACAACCACTTCACGATCATTGCACAGCCACTTCACGATCATAGAACAACCACTTCACGATCATAGAACAACCACTTCACGATCATTGCACAACCACTTCACGATCATTGCACAACCACTTCACGATCATTGCACAACCACTTCCCGATCATTGCACAACCACTTCACGATCATTGCACAGCCACTTCCCGATCATTGCACAACCACTTCACGATCATTGCACAGCCACTCAGCCACTTCACGATCATTGCACAGCCACTTCCCGATCATTGCACAGCCACTTCACGATCATCGCACAGCCACTTCACGATCATTGCACAGCCACCTCACGATCATTGCACAGCTGTTCGGACGTTCCTGGGCCTATACTTTCAAAAAAGTTAAGAGATCGTGAGTTCATCAGCCAATCATTGACGGCCTTTCAAGCAAAATCCACCAATCATAGGCAAGAAAATAGAGCGTAAGTACTTACGTTCACTTAGCGAGTTTTGAAAGTATGGCCCCTGATCTCCGAAGAATGTTATGCTAGTCTCCTCACTGACAGCAAGGCTCGTGTCTCGAGCGTGCAAGGCTAAGCGGGCGAGACTAGCCCAGTAAAGACTGCTCAGAGGCGCTGCTTAACCTCAATGAAAACACGTGCTTACACACGTGAAAATAAACAAATTTGTCAGTCACAGATGGACATAATTTAATAAAAATATTAATTCTAGATTTGATTCATACTTATTTGCAAATTTTTGCTCCAACGATGTCTTGCTGCAATGAGAGTTGCCAACATAATTTTTTTAGGGATGTTAAACTTTCGATTTTGGTGTTCCAGGGAGTTTGGTAGAATTTCAGCCATAGAATGCCTTTGGTTGGGTTTTTAAAAGTCATCTCGTGAAACACTATGCTGAAAAATATATTCAGACATTCAACTGATCCCTGTTAGAGTGTCTTCTGAAGTTGGAGAAAGCGATCGAGAATCAATATAGGCCTTGCTCGTCGCAAGTCGCATCTGGCGACTGCGGTAAATAATGCACGCACTGTACAATATCCGCGGTTGCGGAACATGGTAAACCAATAACATGAGTCCAGACCTCGGGTATGAATTATCGATTAATCTCTCCTGAGCTCACCCACCCTTTCGATGCCAAACGCAAAATGTGTCGAGAGAAAAGTTATTGCAATCTCTTATTATGCATAATTTGTGGTGCAAGTGCACAAATGCTATCTATGCAGCATATTGTGCAAGAATATCTATAAGATAGCAAGCCACAAATGTCAGTTATGAGGCCTATATTAAGAACAATTAAATTATGTCCGATGCATTTCAATATCGGAATGTATTCATAAGTGACGCTGATGCTAATAATAATACCAGCAACATATTTGTATTAGCAATAATATGTAATACTTATTCACGATAAGCCGATATCAGAGAGCGATATTGCGTCCATTGGTAAGAGGAAGGAAATAACCGGAAGGCTCTTCATTTATAAGGACTTGATATGAAGACTTGTAAGACTTGACGTATATTGCCACCGGGGAGGATATTGGCCCACGTTTACCTATTAATGACACTCCATTTTTTCTGCGAGTGATTCAAGCCAGGTAAACAAGTGTCAGTTTAGTCATTCTTGGTTACAATTTGAATTCCGATAAAGCTTATAAGTATTTACGTATTTACTCAATCCGACTTTAAATTGGGATTAGTTCAAATTTTTTGGTAATATCCTTCTAAAAAAATCTTACTTTATTTTACTTTGTGGCGTTGTTTTTCTAACATTAATTCAGAGTTAATATTGATCTGCTTGCGTCTCAGGCAAATATTCTTTCGCACTTCATTCTTCTTTATTGGATAATGGCGGGTAATCCCAGCGTTGTCCGAGATAAAGATAATCCCTAAGATTTGATGACCTTCTCGTATCTTTCTAACCTCATGCTGACAGGGACGCTGGATTACAACGTGTAAAATTGACAGTAACATGCATCACAGAACGATCGTTGGTATACAAATAATCGCTACATATTTAGAGACCTGTGACAAAAAATACACAAAAACCAATTTTCTGAAACATAATTTAGACTAACAGGGTAATTCTTGAGTTATTTTCCTCGGGATAGATAAATAAAATATGTTTGGAATAAATTCTATACTTCTGTTATCAAAACGTCTTTCCTGCTAGCCATATAATTAGACTAGGAAAGAACCTCATTTCCATCCCCGCTTTTCACAGCTTCAATGTTTTCCGACTAAATATAGGAAAATTTTTGATCCAGATAGCATTGCTCCACGATATTATTTGAAGAAAGGTGCCCTGCAATCCTTTTATAATTAGCACGTCCAGCACCCCAAAATGCAGGATTTAATATTAAATAAATCACAATGTTGCTGAACAACCATCAATATAGGTTAATTTCTCACCTGAGAAAAGCGAACTAATTTGCATGCCGCGTTGCCGGCATACCAAACAACAGTGATCTTCCAGACGAGATCCGTGAGCACGCTCACCAGCCCCACCAGCAGATCTGGCCACACAAGATCATGATGTAAATAAATGGATTCACAGCTGGCACATCACTTGCATTTTAGACCATACACCAGACAATTTCACAGCGAAAGAAAAGATGTTTGGAATATACCTTGACATTTCCTTGAAAATCACCATTCACTCAGATCACAATTTTATGATCTTTTGAAAACTTAATTGTAATGCCTATATAAATTTTCATTCGAAATATTAGATTTTATTTCTACCAATAAATATTATAGTATATCTGCCAATACGATAATTCCATCACCCCAATAGAGATAGTAAAGGCCATTTTATCTTGAACTCAGAATTATTAGCCCAGTCATTAAAAGTGCATGGGATTCAAAATTAACATTCAAGCTGAAGACAATGTTATGTTAGAAGATATGTTAGAACCCAACTTTAACCCGTAGACAGGATCCCTCGTTTACTCACGCAAGTTGCGCATTTTACTCATCTACTCGAAAATATTAGGATACGTTTCCTCATCATCTCATATTCCTGTCTGCGGCCAGGCCGAGCGTTGTTTCTGAGTATAAGTTTGATCTCGATACTGTTGCACTAGTCTATTCTCAGCAAGCTGCTCGCCTTCAAACTTTGAGGTAAAGTAATGACCATCCTTAACAAACCAATTTTCCAACTTCCAGCTATGCCGTGGCACGATTCTTGCTATGGAATCTCGCTTCACAAGCGAATAAATTGCAAGATCAATAAGACGGGAGTTTCTAAACTAGCGCTGCCTAATAGAATGGAGCAAACAATCCACCTTACTGAGCTCGTTTAATTCAAGTCATTCTAGCTTTTCTTTCCCAAACTTCTATGAGAGTCCGACCAACTTTGCAGCTTATTTCAATAGCTGAGTACAACATGAATGTTTACTGGCCAAAAGTATGGGCATGAGAGCTGAGACTGCTTGCACTACAAGCAAGCTAATTGCAACGAGGCTGAGATGAGGCCGCTGTCTACACCTTGCATACGGTGCTTACCAAGTCAGTTTATCAAGACCAATCAGGGTTACGGCTGCAATTGGGATCTTAAATTACAACGGAGATATATTGTAGCGCAACATACATTATGAAGAAATTTATCGCCGACTTGTACGATTAGAATCACTCAGCGAATTCCTGAATTTCATGTAGTTCACGCATTTTACTCACCCGCCAGCGCGAGGTGCATGATGAAGAAGTTGGTGCGAGACTTGCGTGCCTTGGATCTCTCATTTACTCACGCAATTCACGCATTTTACTCACCAGCCAGTGCAAGGTGCATGATGAAGAAGTTGGTATGCGAGACTTGCGTGCCTTGGATCCCTCATTTACTCACGCAATTCACGCATTTTACTCACCAGCCAGTGCGAGGTGCATGATGAAGAAGTTGGTGCGAGACTTGCGTGCCTTGGATCCCTCATTTACTCACGCAATTCACGCATTTTACTCACCTGCCAGCGCGAGGTGCATGATGAAGAAGTTGGTGCGAGACTTGCGTGCCTTGGAGAGCCGCAGCGCCGCTATCACCGCCGCGTTGCCCAGCACGATGGACAGCAGCAGCAGCCACAGCACCGCGAACTGCTCTGCCTGCGCAACAGAATTATATTTATAAATGAGTAGCCAATTTTTTGCCCTTTTTGATAATTCAAACTTAGTCATAATGAATTTGTTTCGGAAAAATTTGAAACTGGTCAAGTTAATTTGAGAAGTAGAGAATTAGATAAATTACATTTGCTTCATGGAGTCATTAGGTATGCTTGCTGGATGAAATCAAACTTGTGCCGTCATCAGCTCGAGAACGAGAGATCGATCTTCGGATTAAATCGGATTAAATTAATTAGCGAACTCAAATTCTACAGTGGAATACTCATCAAAATTTATTTTATTCGTCATCTGCATGGGTTATTGGATATTATGCGATCCCAAAACAGGCAAGCAAACAAATACTAAGGATACTAAGGAAACTCACTCATATTTGATGAAAGATTGAATTTGAAAACTGAAATTTCTTTAAAGTAAATATGAATTATTTAATTTAATGCTTATGAGTCAACGCTATGGTAGATCTATTAATAAATTCCATTGCCACATTTAAGTAAAGTTTAATCGACTCTAATTGCATGTAAAATAACTTCGAATTCCCCAATAAATTCCCCAGTAAAGTAGAATATATCAAACCCCACATTTAATTACACTGGCCCTCCACGGTGTATGAAAAGCCAAACGAAGGTTCGAACTTTATTCCTCTGAAACAACTAGCCCGATTGTTCAATGACTCGTCGCAATGCCCTGTCCCAGATCTGAGGGATTTTTGACCTCATGCCGCGGCCGTACAAACTCTGACAATTTCGAGCCCATCTCGCCCGCCGCCATTCAAATGAAGATGCGGTCTCACCGCACGCTTCTGATCGCGTCAAGAATGCCAAGCAAGCTGAAATAATCCCGCTGCCATAATTACTTGGTCCAGTTCCGTGAAAACACGTCGTTCAAAACAGGTCGCCTAGCTCCTGTGGTGACCCATTAAGATGGCATTCCCGGTAGGAATAGCATTGCCAGCAGGAATACTAATTTGTTTGCATGAGCAGCCAGCGTTAAAGCTGTTACGTTTGGCTTCCATACGAAATTTAAATGACGCCTGGAATTGCTGAGATGATCATTCGAAGAAATTGGTGATTTTTCTGAGCCCGAAATAACAATGGCGTCATCATCAGCTCTCATGTTGTGAGTATTTATGTCACTGCTAATGACGAATTTAATTGCTAGACGTCATTAAAAGCACTCGACAATACAGCACAGTCGGTGAATTTTTCTTGGAATTTCTATTTAATTACCTCATAAAATACTTGCACTGGAATATAATTATTATCTATAATAAGCACTAAAAGAGTAAACACGGGGCAGCGGGCCAACTGATTTTTTAAACTAAATTTTTGAAAAGGTTTTAATTGATACGAAGTAGTTCTTTGTTTTCTTTAAACTTACAACTAATGAGGAATGTATGATGTGAATTAGACGCCAATAGAGTTATTCAATTTTTAATGAAACACTATTTTGTAAAAAGTGCCAAATGGGCCCATTATCCCACCCCTGGGGCACTGGGTCCATGGGCTTGGAGCAAGTCTCCCACCGGTGGTCCCATTACCCAAATAGCATATATTTTGTTTAAAGATGATAAAACAACACTTTACAGTTTAAAAAATGAAAATTTAATAAAAATACTACATTAATTCATTTATTAACCACTTGAAAAAAGTATCCTTAACTTGACAAAAATATATTCTTGGCTTACAAAAGTCCATCACTGACGTGAAAAAATCTTTCCTTGAAATGAAAATATATATATCCTTGACTCGAAAAAATATCTTTGCCATTAAAATTCATCCTCGACATAAAAAATGTATCCATGACTAGAAACAATATATTTACTTGACCAGAAAAAACTTCATTCCAGTTTCGTCCATAATCTAGATATTATGTGCAGGAAATTCGTACTTACTCGTGATTTCAGTAAACACCAAAAAAACTCAAACTTTTGGCTCGTTGATGCTGACTGAAATCACCTTTCATAGTAAAGATTCAACAACTCGTGTCAAACTAATTGCTTCAGGAATGCGAATATTCATCTTGTGCCGCTCCATGATCGACATTCTTCAGCCAATCCCTGCCAGCCATTATTACTATTTTCTCTTTGCTTGTTAAATGAGCGATTTTAAATTTGTCGCTCAGCAGCACTGATTTCAATTCTCATCACATCTGTACATGTCAGCCCAAACATTATTTTTTTATCTTTAAATGCGCGTAGCTATTGCTACTCCCGCATCTTCAGGGATAGGCTATATTTCTCGTATCGTCCTAAACAAAGAACTCCAGACATACTGGAGTTAAGTTTGCGAACAGTTGGCTATATATTGACTTCTTGCAATCGCGTTGTAAGCGTGAAAGAAAGATAAGGTAATTAGAGTAATTAAATACGAGTAATTAAAAATTAGAACCTGCTGCTTGAGGAGGAAAATAAAAAATTACACTACAAAAATCACACAATAATTTGTAATTCAAAAAGCTAGTCATAGCTTTGAAGAGCTCATTGAGACAAATCTAATGAAGTATAACACAAGACTTCACAGAGGGGTATTGAGCCCACCATGGGCGCTTTGCCCCGTGACACGCGTGGGCCCGTTGCTACACTAGGTTTCATTTCACTTATATCGTGTCAACATTTTATTTTAAAAGCTATAATAGTCAAAACTTGAACTCAAAATTATCCCTATAAAGAAACTTTTCAAAATATAATTCATAGTACTTTCAAAAGCTTCATATACATTAATCGAAAATAGTTCTATTTAGCCGCAAAAAAACTTTTATTTTGGGCTAAAACAGTTATTCGCAAATAACTTACCAACGCAAACTCTTAGCAAAACGTAGAGCCATACACTTCATCCCAGTGAAACTGTGGACCGGCGGTAGAGAACACGGACCAATATCTGCCATACTTAGCGAGAAACCCGCTGTGGGCCCGTGACCCGCAGTGGTCCCTTTGCCCCATGTTACCCTATTATTTCTTATTAATTTTTCTCTTTGTCGGGCATGCAGAGAAACATTTTTTGTTTCTAGTAATTTTCACTAAAATTTGAGGGATGAAAATCTAAAAATTCGTCACTTCATTACTTTTCTGATTCAATTTTGTTCTGGCAAAATCATGGAATTGCAAAGTAATTTATTAATCATTTTTGTAAATCGAGAGAGAGAAATTTGAAAATCATTTTATGAATTGAATGGTGACATTTTTACGTTTAAATGAATACAAAATGTAATGAATTCGAGAGAGAAATAATAACGCCATAAATGGAACACTAGCTTCTATTCTCAAGCCTGCTCATCTACATTTGACGGGGGTTTAAGTTTAAACATAACCTGCTATGGCATATTTGCACGCATGTTTTTGTAGTGTCAACCGGTGATGGCTGTGATGTGCGAGAAAAACTGACGTGCCCAGAATGTATTTTCCCTCGCTTGTTTTAACGCCGTAGCCAATGCCACTCACATGTCAAACCGAAATGATGAATACCATGCCACCAACCACTTTGCCACACCACCACCATACCACACCACACCACA